ACACTACCTAATTTTAAAAATAAATATAAAGCTCCAATAATCAGGACAGTGTGATTTTGGCTTTAGCATAGACAAGCAGATTAATGAACAGAAATAAAGCCACACATAAACTGTCAATTGATCGTTGTCAGAAGTGGCAAGTTAATCCAAATTAATTAATGAAAGGATAATCGTTTCATTATTGATGCTGGGACAATCAGATAACTATTATGGAAAGAAAATGAACTTCTTTCCATAGTTCCCAGTTTTATGGATCAAGAGTAAAGTTAAAACTATTAGCTTTGAGAAGAAAACAGCTGAATCTTTTTTTGTAATCTTGGAATAGGCAAAGTTTTCTTAAAGAGGACACAGAAACTACTAACCAAAAAACAACAACAAAAGAAGACAGAGGACGATACGGAAAAGGAGAGGAGAATAAGAGGAAGAGGAAGAGGAAGAGGAAGAAGGAAGAAGGAAGAGGAGGAGAATATAAATTGGATTTCAAAACTTTAAAAACTTCAGTCTATCAAAATACACAATTAAGAAAATGCACAGGAAAGCCCCAGACTGGGGGAATAAGTAAGTTGAACTTTCACATAATAATGCATATAGGAAGTACAATAAAAACAGCATTTCATTACTACTATAATAAACAGAATGCTTGAATTTAAAGCATAAGCTTATAATAATGAAATAAAAGGAAAAAATATCTACAAAGTTACATTATATACTTGATCATGTAGACCATAATAAAGATAACATTTCCTAATTTAGTAAAGATATTTTAATGTAAGACTAATTAATTTTTCTCAGGATATTTTAAATAAAAGTAAATACGAGATTTCTAAGCCAAGGAAACATGACTTTGTTTTCAGTTTATTGACGAATTTTAATCATGTATTTTTATCAAGTCAAATTGGGGTAATCAAGAATTCTATAAAAAGTTTAGAATACTGGAAAACAAGGTAGGCTATGAGCAGCCCCAAAGAACATAACGAGACACATAATCTTAAAAAATGTGCTGAAGATGCACACTTTAGCTGCAGAAAAAAGACACATCCCTATTATTATTGAAAATGCACTTTGTAACACTGGGTAGCCTAGAAGATACAATGTCTCACTTGCTTTTTGGCTGCCTGAAGGTTTAGAACTAGAAACAAATGCTTAGGAAATGTGTGCAGAAAAACAGAAAATCTACAAAGGACAAGATTAATCATGGATATGTAATCAGGACTCATTACTCTTATAGTCACAGAAGCAATAGGAAAAGTTACCCACAAGGAACACAGTGGATGAAGAATTAACAATAAGGAAATAATGATCATAGATGATGATGAAACAATATTTTGAATAGTGTTTTCTAATACTGCAGAATACTGATTAAAATACAAGAATGCCTTTTTATACACCAGTAGGGAACTATAACACTTTTCAGCCAAGTCTGGTAATAGGAATAAGGCCATCTTCTTATTGGTTGAAGAAGAAACACCCATGGTCTGAATTAAGGCCCAGGAAGAAATAATTTCATGTGATAATGAAATATTATTATCATGCATAAAAAGTGGAAAATCCATAACATTGGAAATACTGTTTATAAAGCATTCTTTTACATCCATGTGGTCTATTATCTTTTACATGTTGCACATATTCTTGTGACCAAAACCCTGTGAGATGTGTATGTGCATAGTTTGCCAGACATTTTCCCAGTGTTTGCCTAGCATCTTCATCCCAGCAGGCAAGGATTTCAGTAACGATAACAGTAGCCCTGGGACCATAATCTAAAAAATACTCTTCATCTCTATTAAAACATGATGCCATTTAGGGATCATCACTTGCCATATTTTGAAGGTCTAAACCTTCCTATCCATGGAAACACCTAGATATACTGCATAGGCTGTACAAGATGCCTAGAAGCACCTGCAAACACTTGGACTCTGCTTGTGAGCAAAGGGCCAAAATGTTCTTCTAGAGCATCGGAAGCACTCTTTCTTTTCTGTAATACATTTCTGAAAACTCACAAAACAGAATAGCAACAATTGGAATCTTTTCTTCACAAATGATAGATTGAAAAGGCAGTAGGTACTCTTTCCACTAGATGGAAAACTTATATTGTTATTAAGGAGAAATGATTCCTAGTTAATAGCATTTTAGATTCAGATGTATATGAAACTTAAATGTATAAAACCCCAATGGTTGTGTTCCTATGTTATAACGTGAGGGTTTCATCCCAAGATATTTTCCAAATTTATTACTAATTGGTCCTTAATTTTTAAGTATAATCTTTCATGACTTATTTCAATATTATATACATATATATATCCTTTAATTTGATTATTTCACTTGTTATAAGGATTTTGTTCAGAATATCTAATAATGTCTATGTTTAATAATTGTATTATGTTAATATAATCTACACTACTTGGTGTTGGTAAATTCATTTTAACATTTCCACCCAATTTTATAAGGGCAAAAATATGATTAGTCAAATATTGGCAAAACCATTATTCAGACAAATGTTGTGACACTGCTCCAAATGAACTGTTAGTAATATTGTTATTCTTGAACTGATAAATGTCATCCAGACTCACCTTTAGAAAGACAATTGAAAGATTTGAGTGACAGATTCAAAGCGAATTACAAAATAAGTGTACTGAAAACGAAGATCAGCTATAATAATAACTGTTACAGTTTTCACAAATTAACAAGTGAATACATTACCAAGTAAAAGAATAGAAAGACCCTTTTGGGCTATTCTGGATCAAATAAATTGGTGAAGGCAAAAGAAGCAAGCTTCCTTTCTTTATTTATATATACTGAATAGAGAAAAAGTTCTCTATGTTCACAGGCCTGATTTAAAAATCAGACAGGTGCAAAGTATATTTTAATATTTTCAATTTGTTTTTGGTCTAAGGTAACCACTGTTCTATGTGATGGATTTTGAGGTTAAAAATAGAACATTTTTAAAGTATAAAAGTTATCTTTGGAAACCAAGTTTTTACATGCTTTTATAGCTTATAAATAAAAATGAATAAATTTTGCTTCATTAGGGTAAGTAAAGTTTATTTTCTCATTTATGATTTTTGCTTCTCCTAGGATTTCTGCCTCTTATATATCTGCTTTTCTATTTCAGGGCTCATGTGAAAGAGTAAAAACTCGGCCAACTTCCAGGGATATCTGAAGGGAACCAGGTGCTGCCCACCAACAACCTCTAAGGTTGGAGATGACTGGGCCTTGCACACGTGCTCTGTGTACTCTTGGTCGGTGGGCCTCTGTGCGCATGTGCAGTGACTTCAGCATCTGACAAGCACATGCTCACTCCTGTCTAGACGCGTTGCTTGGTAACATTTGTAGCTAAAAGATTCTAAACCTCCAAACTGCCCTGCTGGAATGTTGTGGCAAGAAACGGTTGGCTTATCTGGAAGCGCCTTTTGAGCTCCGGGGTGGAGAATAGGAGAAGAGGAGCTGAGGTGTATCTGAAGCTCATAGACTCGACAAAGACTGGGACATGAAGAAGATTTTTGGATTTGAGAGTTGGAAGGCCAAGTCACCCTTTGGATCCCTAACCAGACAACAGAAGAACAACACAGGCCTCACTCCTGAGGCTTGTAATAGTATCACCTCTTGGAACCGGTACCACATCCGAGATAAAGATCTCAGAAAGATCCACAGAGCTGCCAGCGTAGGCGATGCGCAGGAAATGGAGGAGATTCTTTTGAAAAGTTTAAGGCACTTAAATGATAGAGACAAAATGAACAGGTAATGGGGACTGTGAGGCCAGTGGCCAGGGGTGGACCTGGGAGAAGGGCTTGCCTGCCCAGGCACAGCCAGGTGGAGTCAGCCCTCCCATCATGGAGGGTGCTGGGCTGTCCTCCCTGCCCAGGCTCAGCCCCACAGTGCCTTGGCGGTAGGGACCTTACCTGGGGCCTAGCACCCAGGCGAACTTGATGAGCAGCAGTAAGGAAAACTTTAGGACGCACTCATAATTCCTTTATCGAGCACTTTACTGATGATTTTAAAGGAATTTAACTTAATGTGAATAATAGAGATAAAATTAAGTATACATGGCATTTTATTTTTGTTGTTCAGATTTTTATACTATAATGTTATGTAAAATAGAAAAGTGCATAATATAGAAAACAGATCCCATAATAGATCAACTCGTGGGCTAAAAGCTCTTCAGATAAAATTCAATGTCTATTTTATAGCAGTGCACACCTATGGATGTAGGGTCTTTATTGAGGAACCTTAGAAGGGAACTTTGAAGTGGGAAGATGGCTGTGGTCTTGAATAGAAAGACTCATTTTCTCAAAATGTGTGGTCATTCTACATTTATCATTCTTACATAAACCAATAATATCATGGTGTTAAAATTTTGGGGTTACACACACTGTGTTTTTTTGTCATGATGAAATTAAGACAAATTTTGTATAATAGACAGAAATTTGCCCTTCTAGATACCAACATGTGCTTTAGATATCCAGAAATTAATTTGTTTACTAATAGCTGAAAGGACAGAAAAATGATTGGAACAGCCCAGAAAATGCCCAAACACCCAAATATATATATATATGTAAGTCTTTAGAACTTGTTACTGGTGACATTTCATGTTAGTAGAAAAGATGAATTACTCATAACTGGTAAATAAATAACTGTTAAGCATTTGGAGAAATCTAGGTCAATTTTTATACCACAAAAAATATGTTTCAAATAAAATATAGGTTAAAATTTTAAATATAGAAAATGAGAAAAGTTCTGGAAGAAAACACAGCTGCCTATTGATACTTTTTATATTGACAAAGACTTCAAAAGCAAGAATTCGGAAGGTCAATTGAGCAATACAAAAAGTCAAAATCCTCTGTATATCAAAAAATGATACTAACAAAATAAAAGAAAATGTTCTAGTGAAATATTTACAACATATATATATATATCAAAGGGAAAGTATATCTTCATTTTCCAGAGAAATCTTTGAAATCATCAAAGAAAAAACCTATAATTTGAAACTGGACAAAGCACTTTTTGTATACCTACATGTGACTAGTATACATAGGAAAAAATATTTAGTGTCTCTGGTAAGAAAAGAAATTTAAGTTAAAAGAGAAATAAAATAATGTTTCTACCTACAACATTTGTGAAGACATGGGGTCATTGAAACATAGTGATCTTTCTAAATTACTTAAGTTCAAGTAGCTTTTCACTTTTCAAATAGGCAGTTTGGTGATAACTATCACATATTTAAAAATACATATTCCCTCTACCCATCAACTCTATTATTACTAAAGTATATTCATGAAATAATTAGATAAATTACATACAATTGAGTTTTCTCAGCACTGCTTACCATAACAACGTAATAAGATGAACTCATAGAAATGAATTTTATAAGTAAATTGGAGTGCATCCACAGGATGAGATAATATGTGACTATTAAAGGTGGTATAGACCACAGATGTATGTTGTCACGTAACGATGTACTTTGCTAGGTCAGAAATGAAGGAAAGAATTGGTTTGATTATACATACACCCAAACTGACCATGACCTTATGATAGCTGAAAATATGTACAAAATGGGATAAAATGTATTTCTGAGCAATTGTATTATAAGTGAAATTTTCTTTTTCTTTTTTAAAAATCTGAATTCTACAATGAACATATATATATATCTCCTAGTAAGTTTATTATTAATGAAATAATTCTTGAGAAGAGCAGGAATATAAATCTTGCACAGATGAAAATGATTTCTCACTTTCTGTTTTTTGAAGTTTTTTGATGAATTAACATCTTCAGAAATAAAAAGAATTCTTTTATTGGTGCCTGTAGAGTTTGTGTATATATTTCAGCACACATATTTGTTTTTTATTATATGTGGCCTTATTACAAATATGAAAACGATTATAGATTAATCATTTTAGTTGTGTCCTTATGATATAAAAATCAATAAGAGCAAATATAAGTGATTACCATTATTTCAAAAGTATTGCTTTACATTTTAAAAAGTTTTATTTATGAATATTGAACTCTGCAACTATAGTTATCTATTCTGTCAATCCATTTATTCATCAAATATAATCTAAATACCTATTTCGTAGCAGACATAGTCTTCTCAGGACTCTTCAATCTGTCTCTCAGGCCCTTTTCATCCTTCAAATTTTCATGCTGCTCAGTATGAACCAAATGAGAAATTTTAAATTATAGTATTAGGACCTAATCTCAACTTGATGCTTTTTCTCCCACCTTTGAAAGGTATTTCCGAAGGTAGATAATTATAAAAGATAACATTTACCGGCCCTTTTGAAAGTGTATAATAGTATTAAATACTAATGTTGATCATTGAAATTTTTGATTTTTATATAATCTATAAATCCAGTTATTGAATAAAATGAGCCATCCCTATTCATTTGAATTCTGGGCTCCCTTTCACTTAAAATTTATTGACAAAGTAAGAATTACTTGAAAAAAGTGCTTTCCCTCTTTTGTTATTTTAGTCGTCTTTCCTCATAATGCTTTTAAGAACTAAAATTTACTTCAGTACCAACCAAATATCTGGAACTGCAATAGGTCTGTTGTATAAACCATTATTTCACTTAATGTAAGGCACAATGGATTATGGTATGATGCCCACTCTTTTATGCACTGGTAAGAGAGTGTTAGAAATGCTGCCAATTGTGGATGAAAGGCATCTAGAATTATAAATTGCGTTTTAGTGTCAGAGGTGTTAAAATGTGAGAAAATAAGCATCTTAGCATCATTGAAACATTGTGTTCTTTCTAATTTTTAAGACATAGCTGCAAATAAAGGCAAGATGATATCATGTTACTAAATTGAAATGTCTTTCTAAAGCAGTCATAATGGTAATAATTATAATAATTTTATGTAACAATTATTGAGCTGTATTTTTGTGCTAAGAACTGTAGCAAACACTTTGCATAGGTTTCATTTAAGCATATAACAATGTTCTGTGAAATAACCACTATTTTTATCTCCTTTTTGTGGATGGGGAAATTGAGGCATAGAAAAGCTAAGTAACAAAGTTAAAACAGGATCAAAGGCAAGTTGAGCTGAATGCCCAGGTCATGCTCTCTCTATTCACATAGGCTGCTCTTTTATTAATGTGGTGAGTAACATGAGCGAATAAATATTGTACATTCTCCAGAAGAAAACTAAATACTTGTTTTGAAGGCATAGGAATAGCACTTAATAATTACAATTATATGAATAATTATATGTTTTGAGATAGTGCCCTCCAGTTTCCTAAAACATCCTCTCACTTTCATAGGACTGCTCTACATTTGGCCTGTGCCAATGGCCATCCGAAAGTGGTAGCTCTCCTAGCAGACAGTAAATGCCAGCTTAACCTTTGTGACAATGAAAACAAGACAGCCCTGATTAAGGTACATACATAGTAGCCAACACTAAAATGTGAGATGGATTTGATTTAATTATGGATAGTTAGAATGAATTTATCTCATTTAAATAGAACGACGTCATAAAACTAGTGTAAGGTTCACTTTGAATTCCTAACACTTCCCATCTGTTTCTGGGGACAATACCGACAGGCCGTACAATGCCAAGAGGAGGAATGTGCAACTATTCTGCTGGAACATGGTGCTGATCCAAATATAATGGACATCTATGGCAACACGGCTCTGCACTATGCTGTTGCTGGCCATGATATGGATATGGCAGCAAAGCTGCTTTCATACAAGGCCAATATTGAAGCAAGGAACAAGGTATAGATCAACTAAATTTATTTACAAAATATTGGAAACATATGCTTTTTTGTTTATTTTTTTAGCCACAAGCATTATATTTCTAATACATATACTGCATATTATATACATCAGGCCCTGTCACCATAAAAAGAACTCCAAAGCCAAGTCGGAGAGGGATGGAGAGATGTGGTATCCACGGAATGAGCAAAGCTCGGTCTCCTGGCTACCACCCTTCCACACCAGAAGAAAGAACTTCCTGCTAGTACCTGGGAGCGGGTGATAGGCTCAGAGCCCACAAAGGACTGAGGGCCTGGGGGGAGTGAAGCGATGGTGGAGGATGGCTGCTGCACAGGCAGGGGCCTAGGAAGTGGGTTCCTCTGGGCAGGGGGAGCTGTGTGAGTGCCAGTGGGAAGGGGAAGCAGCAGGCCACATGCCCTGAACAATCCCCCAAGGTTCTGAAGATTGGGGCAGGAGAGACAGGTCAAGTCTGGACCTCCAGCAAGGGCATTCATTTGTGCTCATAGCCTCTTTGCCAGCCATTTAGCACCTTGGGGTCTTCTACCTCACAGTGCTGCTCCTGCTCAGCCTCCCAGAGCTTATTCATGGGGTTGCAGTTGTACAGGGAGTGGGTGATGACAAAGCAGTCACCTGCTTTTTGCTTCTAGACACACTTTACCTCTAGTCACTGCAACACTGACAGGAAGGTCCTCGATTGACATAGGTCAGGTCAGTTTTACATATTAGGAAGCTCAAGCAATCTCTGAATGAGAACATTTTGAAAGAACTTAATTGTCTAAGATTTTGGTTTACATAAGAATACTTCTAAAGAAGTAGTGGAGGGTACAGCTCGCTTTTATGCACTTATGGCAAATGTTTGTGAAAACATTTGTCAAAGGCAATTTTTTTTTAAATATATTTTTCCATCCTAGTTTTTTCTCCTAATTAATGTAAATAATGCAGGAAAGTAAAATTTTCCTTGAATATAGGCTTTACCTTAAAACATAAACAAAATAAAAATATATTTTCCATATAATAGAAATCTTGCTGCTGTTGATTAAGTCCCTATATCATAAAAAAAGTTACTTATCTGTCGTTGGCCAAAGTTTACAAGGAAAATAGGATCTGGGGGAGAAAAAAGAATGATTAATCAAAAATTCACAAGCCAATTTGAAAATTTGGTAATTGAGTGGAAATAATAGGTTTTTTGTTTTTGTTTCTTTTTTCTTCATTTTAGATATTTAGGGAAGGTGCTCTTCAAGTTTCAAGGATAGTAATTCTTTGTTTTGGAGAGAGAGTCAGGGAGTTGCAAACTTGCCTGGAGATCAGCTTGAGGAGGTCTCTGAGCCCACCAGATTGGCAGCAAACAGGTGGTGATAAGTAGGAAGAAGAAGAAAGGACATGTAACTGACTGACATTTTATTCTATCCTGGCAGAAACTGCCCCTTAGATACAAGGCTAAACTCTGCTCTGAAATCAAGAATGTCATGATGGTGTTTACAAATAATGAAATGAAGCGCATTTTGAATTTATTAGTCCCTCTTCCACCCCTACCCAGGAAGTTAAATGTAGTTTAGATAAGTGACTCATAGCTCTGACACTTTTATTTTTTGGCCAAATCCAAAGGAAATGACAAAGAAAATTGGCTCTTCCCTGAAGATTTTGCTTGAGTAAATCTAATAAGGCCTGGACATATGTTTTTAGAAGTATTTCCTTGAGATTCTGATACAACTCTTGGTTCTTGGTTAAGAACTACTGAATGGACAAGTGTTATGTGCAAAATCACAGATTACAAAAACTTCATAAATGTCCAGATGACTTGGAGTTTGGTAGGAGATACTCCCTCCAGCACTGTCCTTTCCAACACCATTAGCCTGAGTTTCAAATGTCTCTACCCTAGCGCTCCAGGGGTTAAAGGGGATATCTTTGGCCATATCCGCTGTCTTAAAGAGGAACACCCCTTTTTTCCCACCGTCGATCATTCACTGGCACTCAGAGAATCTTTTGAAACTTGCTTATGGGTAGTCTATAGATAAATAGAATTAGACCGTTTAAGAATTTTGCATATTTTCATCATGTTCAGGTCATTATAATAACACATGCTTACTACAAGCAGGGTTTCCCTGCAATAATAGTAAATAATCAAAGTTCTTTATAGTTGAAGCTGTGCGATAGACTCAGTATGTCTCAGTATGTCTGTTCAATTCATAGAACACTGGCTTAACCAAGACGGCAATTTTAAACCTTAGAATATCAAAAACCACAAAGTTAGTGATGAAGCCAATGAGAATTGTTTGAATAATTGAGTTCCAGCAGTCCTTTGAAGTAATTATCCATTTGATTAACAATCTGTGAGAAATAAACACAAATAGATTGTATTTTTATTAAGTTTTGGAAAAATTCTGTAGTATGAGTCTCAATAACGGTTTGTATTTTTTTTTATAAAACATATGATACTAAAGAAAAGAAAGATCTTACATTCTAATATTTGCTTTAAACACAACCATTTTGAAACACAGCAAGTAGAAAAACGCAAGTGGACTACAGACTAAATGTGGCCTCTGGATGTGTTTAATTTGCCTCCATGAATTGAGTCAACATTTAAAATTTAGGTGGCTCATGTAGAAATTTGGATTTCAAGCTTCTCTTAAAGAATCAAATCTGTACCCTTGAGCCCATCATACTTGTTTGTGTGCTGTGCCGAGGCTATCCCTTACATATTAGACCTGTGTTCTCTAGTTTGCTACTGTCCCCACCTCGCTTCTTCCCTTACTTGGGTCACCTACTTACTTTGCTTCCGTAAGCAATGGAGTTCGCAATTTCTGTTTTATAGTATATTTTGATAAAGGTCTCAAGATTTTCAAGACAGTTTATATTAATTTATACTGTATATTTTATGTTTTGTTGAATCTCTGAAAAATAGGGTTGAATTTTTCAAGTTACAATTTATAAGTTGTTTTTTAAATATATATATGTCCTAAAAATAATTATATTCCCACTGAAATTTCTATAAGTCTAATGAAGTTAATTATGGTTTTAGTTGTCTAGGTTATGCATATTTCACACAGTTTTATATCTGTCTCCTCAGCAATTACAGTATTAAATTTTCTCCTTATAAAAATGTAAATGATTTAGTTCCTTTCACTATGCTAAAAATAATTCAAATAAATCAGTACTGAAATATTTATTGATAAGTCATTATATTTTTACTTCTGAATTAGATTTTGCATAAGATATAAAATGTTCGTTAGTAGAATCGAAACGAAACCAGAATAAAACTGGTTTTAATAAAAGTAGACACTCATTTCAGTCCCAAGATTAGCCTTATAAATGAGAATAAAATTTCATACTGTGCTTTGTAACAGCTAAGATAAAAATCTATCATCTAATAATCGTAGAAAACCCATGGACCATTTAGTAATAAGCAATCAAAGTTTATTTGAAGCCCATGTCTGTTTAATTTAGAATCCATTTCCTCTGTGACTCTTTTGGAGCAGGGATGCCTGAAGCTGACACCCAGGGTCCTGATAGCATTGATAGAAGAGAATCCAGCAAATTTGATTAACCTGGGGAATCCTTCATATCTCTTGGAAAGCTCTCAAAATTGTATCCCCGAGATAACATTTTCTCAAATGTTAATGTTTGTTCGCCACACACAAAAAAACAAAAACACATTTCTTTAGTACTAGGCATATAAAGCACATTCTGTATTACTTCTCAAACACAGGTGATCTTTCTGGAATCTTTCTCTTGGGGCACAGTACTTCTGGTAGATATTCTTTGGACTATGATTTGAGAAACACTACACTTTTTAGAGAAACACTGTTTAGGATATTAATTCAGTAAAAGTACTTAAAATGTTTCCTGCTATGATTTAGTGCTTGGAGCTAAGAGATGAAAAAATAATAATAACCTCTGCCCTCAAGAAGCTCTCGGTTTAGATGGGGAGCAATACAATAACTACCGAATACTATGAGATACTGTGATAGGAGCCAGGATTCTTGGAACCAATACTATCAATGCTTGGAGTGAGTTTTGGAGAACAATGCTGCAGCAAATCTGTTGAAGTGTAGAGAAGGGTATTTTAAAGAGAAGGAGCAGCAGGGGAAAGCCCAGAGGGATATTTTTTTACTTTCTATATCACATGCTTAAATTCACATTATATTTTATAAGTTTTAAAACTCTGTTTCAAAATATGTAATCTCATAAGTTATAAATAGTTTTTGCTCTTTTACAGGATGAACTCACACCACTTTTACTTGCTATCACTGAAAACAAACAGCAAATGGTGGAATTTTTAGTAAAGAAAAATGCAGATACAGATGCAGTCGATAAGATGAAAAGGTATAGCTGTTCATTATTTTTTTTTAACCTTAATATTGTTCTAGAGTGGTAACAATCACTCAGTTCGGAAGTTTTAAATTAATAACAAGAGGATTAACTTGTAATCCTGTAGTGAAAGATATCAACCCATCACCAGTTAAGTGGAAAAGCAATTCTTCTGACTGGGCAACTGAGAGAACAGTACACTGCAGTATTTACATTCATATTTATTTATAATATTGATAGATGCCTTTTGTAATTTGATTTTTTATCATATGATCTTATATTAGTCAAAGGGTTTTGTATTAGTTTTATTAGTTTTATATTGTATGTATGGACTCTAACTTTTACTTATGATACGATATTAAACTTAGTCTCTCTTATGGTAGTGTTAAACTTCTACTTTATTTACTTTTTCCTTAAAAAGATGCATATTAAACATAAATAGGTGTTGATTTTGTCTTTTGGATGGCTCTTTGCTTTATTGCTTTCTTTGAAGTATACTGATGTTATTAGTTTACCCCTAATTGACTATGAATTACTACCAGATACTATGGGATCATTCATTTCTGGTATAATTTGATGTTTTTAATTTTAACTGGTATAGTAGAAGGAAGAAAGATAACTTTAATGAATGGACTTTCCCTATAATGAAAACAAGTTATCAGTGAGTGATAAATAAAAAAAGAGATGGCCTTTCAATTCATACCAGATTGGGTGCGACGCCTAGCTTTCCTACATGCCAGATGTATGACCTTGGGAACATCACTTATCATCACCAAATATGTATCCTGATGTGAAAATGAGGACAAGAACATATCCCACAAGCATAGTTCTACGTAAGATTATCCAGCATTTAATTTAGTGCCCAACACATGCTTATCAGCATCATTAAGTCTATGACTATTATTATTATAATTATTAATATTATTGCTTTAAGCCTGCAAAACACCTTTTAGTCACCTGACTTCTAGCTGACTTTGAGGTACAATATATCAGACTAAGGATGAAACAAGAAGTTCTTCATTTAAATCTTCACCTACTTCAGATAAGGTTCTTCAGCATAGTTTCTTGTTTATTAAAGGACTTTAAATTTACAACTTCTATGTAAACCCCAAGAGGGGCCAGTGGCTTCCTTTTTGTCCCTTCCTTTTAGCCTTGGAGTTAATTTACAAAGATGAACATTTAAACACGTAACCATGTAAATGGTCAATTCTACACAGACAAGGATGATATGAACTGGTAAATTAGCTGTTTAAATAACTTAATTGATGTTCCTAAGGGTGAAGTTATCTTTCTGTTACTTTAGAAAAGCCCAGGTACAATATATCAGACTAAGGATGAAACAAGAAGTTCTTCATTTAAATCTTCACCTACTTCAGATAAGGTTCTTCAGCATAGTTTCTTGTTTATTAAAGGACTTTAAATTTACAACTTCTATGTAAACCCCAAGAGGGGCCAGTGGCTTCCTTTTTGTCCCTTCCTTTTAGCCTTGGAGTTAATTTACAAAGATGAACATTTAAACACGTAACCATGTAAATGGTCAATTCTACACAGACAAGGATGATATGAACTGGTAAATTAGCTGTTTAAATAACTTAATTGATGTTCCTAAGGGTGAAGTTATCTTTCTGTTACTTTAGAACAGCCCTCATACTTGCTGTAAATGATCCATCCTCAGATATAGTCAGGCTTCTTCTTCAGCAAGGCGTTGATGTCTTCGCTAAAGATAACAATGGATGGACTGCGAAAGAACATGCTTTAAAGAGAGGTTTTAATTTGTAAGTATTTACATTAAAAATGCCAGTTATCAAAAAAACTGATGTTTGCAATAATTTAACTGTTACTTCTTACATAACAGGTGAGATGTCACATTTCAGCTCAGGCAGTTGGGGAATGGCGGTGACTTAGTGACCATCCTCAAACAGAGACCAAGCAAAAGCCTGGACAAATTAGAAATAGCAATGGGCACAGTTTCCTTATTCTAAAACTTTTAAGAGCTTTGTCTTTCATTCCAAGTACAAACCCTATGTATGGAAAACAAATAATATCTCTTCTCTGATTTTTCCAACTCTCTACTTTGAGTCTTGAAACGTCAGTTTAGCAGAAACTTCTGTATTTTCTGGGACTTATCTTTTATACTCTCCCCCTTGAATTATTCAAGAAGCTAAAGGGTTCCCTAAGTCCAAGGGAGACAATCTTCTCTCCTTTGTCAGATGGAGGGGTAAAGGAGGACATGCTAGTCTATGGTTTACGTTGATTCTATTGCTGCACAGTGGCTGATTGAATCTGGTCCTGGGGTCATGATTGACCTTTGATCCCAGGTTGCCCTTGCTGATCCAGATTCCTCAGTCTTCATGGTGATCCACACCTGGACTTCCAAGTTACAACTATTTTTAGGTTATACACATATGCGTTTTTGCTCAGCCACTATTCCAAAGTATCAGCATCTGGCAGCTGGACCTCCTTTGCCCCACACTCAAAAATCTGGGTGGAGTCCACCTCTTAGCACAGGTCTTCAGGGTGAGTTACACTTTGAGCGTCTTGTTTGAGTTTTCTGCTAGCATATGCTAGTTGAAACCATTTTAAGTTGTCAGAAAGGTTCAAATGATGCTGCAGGAAAAGATCAGGCTCCTTAATTACCAGATCAGCACCCCAAGGCCACTTGATGTCCTGTAGAGCATCTTTTCTTAAGTGATGAAAAGTCTCATAGCACCTTTCCCGGAGTAGACACCAACATGCTTGAGATTTCATAATTAAAGTTGGCCTCTCAAATGGTCTATGAAAATATACCAAAAATAAGAACCGTATATCCATTTATGATCAAAACACTTAACAAAATCAGTATAGAAGGAAAGTACCTTAACATAATAAAGGCCATATATGACAAACTTTCAGCCAACATTATACTTAATGGTGAAAAACTAAAAACCTTCCCTCTAAGATCAGGAAAAAGGCAAGGCTGTCCACTATCACCATTGTTGTTCAATATAACATTGGAGGACCTAGCAAGTGCAATCAGGCAAGAGAAAGATATAAAAGGCATCCAAACAAGAAACAAAGAAATCAAACTGTCACTATTTGTGGATGACATGACATGATTCTTGGAAAACCCTAAAGACTCCACAAGAACAATAGTAGTAACAATAAGCAAATACAGTAAAGTTTCTGGACACAAAATCAACATTCAAAAATAAAATCGTTCCTATACTCTAATAACCAAGTGTCAGAAAAAGAAGTGGAAAAAAATAATTCTTTTTGCAATTGCAACAAAAAATAAAATACCTAGGAATAAACCTAATGAAACATGTGAAAGACTTATATAATGAAAACTACAAGACCCTGTTAAAAGAAATTGAAGAAGATACAAAGAAATGGAAAGATATTCTGTGTTCTTGGGTTGGAAGAATCAACATAGTTAAAATGACCATATTACCTAAAGCATTATACAGATTTAATGCAAGTCCCATCAAAATCCCATTGGCATTTTTTTTTAAAGAAATAGAACAAAAATCATCAGAATTGTATAGAAGTTCAAAAGGCCCCAAATTGCCAAAGCCATCCTGAGAAAAAAGAACAAGGCTGGAATCATCACTCTGCCTGACTTCAAATTATACTACAAAGTGACAGTCATCAAAACGGCATGGTATTGACAGAAAAACAGACACAGAGAACAGGGGAACAGAATCGAGAGGCCAGAAGTAAACTCATTTTTTAAATGGGCAAAAAATTTTTGACAAAAAGCACAAAACATGAAG